CAATCTACTGTGTACACACTGAACCTGTGCATGTTTGAGTTCCATATAAAAAATACATGCTCACCAGTGACTGTGGGCATTTGTGCATTTTTTTTTTTTTTAATTTTTATGGAACCCATTAGCAATTGACACGTCACTAATTGTGCCCCAACCTCATGGAATGACCCAAATAAGTGTTTGCACCAGAAAAGTAACTTTGGACTTTACTTCTCTCAAAGGCACAAATGCTGGCCAGAATGTATATACAGATACTGTACAACAGCCGGCAATTTTTCCTGTTCAACTCTTCTTGACATGTTTTTGAACACTCCTACATCACTAATATAATTATGCGGGAGAAAAAATACGTTGGCCAGCCATAGAATCCAGGAACAATCAAATGAAATTATACACAGACAGTGTTTTGGTGAGTTGTGGTCATCAGTCGAGTTAATGACAGAGCGGTTGAGGTACAACCCCAGGCTGGATTGCGTGATGCCTGACCTTTGATGACGGTCTCTTCGTACTTGGCCTTGGCCTCTTTAGCATCCTTCGCCGCCTTCTGATACCTTACAAAGCAGTCTTTGACTTCACTTTTGACCTGAGGATAGCAAAATCATGTCGGCAAAGTTATGAAACTCTGTGGTTACTTACACATGTGTGCCATAATTGAACAGGATAGGATGTGCTCACACAAATGACTCACAACTGTAGGCAAACGTACAGGTGCACTTGTCAGTAATTAGAAATGTTCATCACAGGTGTTCAGTGAGCGTGTCAGTATACAGAGTCATTATCTTAACTGTAACTTTTAATACTCCACTCTGCATGAAAGATGACCAGTGACACTTTCTTTGCACTTGAGGCACATTATACATGTTGTAAAGCATGATGTCACGCATTGAAGTACAAGTGGAGGGCTCTATCCGCCTCTGTCTTACAAAATTCTTCAAACTTCCAAGTGGATTTTGAAGGATCTGGGAAGGCAAGAATTGCAGGCTCACTTTTGCTACACACTTGAGTATGTTTAGTACACTCAGTGCACATATTGCAAACGATTCAGCATTTACAGTTGCATGTAACTGCCATTTCCTTTGGACAGGAAATATACTGGCAGTTTTGGAAATGATCATAAATTTCATGGGTTTACAGTAAGCAAACACATGTACAGTTGTACACAGAGGTACATGTACACGTACATGTATGTAATCACCAATAATTACTGACTTCAAGTGGACAGGTTTTACTATAACTAATGCCCTCTCCAACTTCCCCACTCCATAGTGTAGAGCAATGGCAAATATGGGCCAGGGGATTTCCAGGAAAATGGAGTGACTGAGCAGTCTCCCCATTTCTTCAAACAAAATCAAACAGGTGCACAGGGAAAAATGAAGGAACCAGTTGGGAGGCCTTGACATGTTTGTACAGCACCTGTTGAAAGCCTACACCCATTGCAGGGTGTCAGTGACTCGTTGAGCCTGAAACAAATTGTCTTGTTAGTGAACTTTGGTAAGCAGGTTTTGTGATTAGGTGTTGTAACTTTTTTTTTCACAATGTGTGCTATTGTGGTCACTAAAACACATTTCAAGAGTTTTAGACATGTTAAACGTTACTCTTCTGGTTTCATATTCTCTGGTTATGGTCTTGGCTCATAAAAATGATACAGGACGCTTTTTAACTACATGTACATATACATGTACACTGTAACATCCATTTTGGTCAACGCACCACATCCACAATTGTTCATGGGCTTGTGGTGCAGAGTATTTGTCCCATCTCCACTTCGCCCCATCTCCACTTCGCCCCACCCCCACTTCGCCCTACCGGTATCTCCACTTTGCCTGCCCGTGCTCGAGTGTGTTACGACTTTAACAAGCCTCTTCAAAAAGTGGTCGAGAGAGGAATTCCACAGTTGCACAGTCTGGAAGGATGCACACTCTTCATGGTGGGCTGGGTTGGCACAACGACAGCCTAGTCTATTCCTGTGTCATCATGTCATCATGTCGGGTAACTTTAACAGTACAGCGTATTGTTCATGTACATGTATAATATATGTAAGTAGACATCGTCCGGTGCCCGGCAGAAGGGCGTAAGCACACTTACGCCCTTTCGAAGGGAAGCATGGTCACAGCAGAAAAAATGTTCCCACCAAAAGGGCGTAAGAAATACACTCTCTTTATTTAGTAAAAACGGGTATAATTTACTACAAAATCAACCTGGGCTGTACAAAAAGCAACCTTTGAACAGCTTGTTAAAGGACTTGGGCATTTTTTTGTTAATTTTTTTGCCAAGAAATCTTCATATTTCATTAAAATACAATAGTTGCAGACTTTCGTCCTTTTGCCGGGAAAAGTTATTTTTGCAGTGATCATGCTTCCCAGCAAAAGGGCCTAAGCGCTTACGCTCTTTGACGACATGATCATTTGGGGCACTAAATTAGCAGGTGTGCAAGAGGACCGGAAAGACTTCCACTGTTGTAACACATGCCGTTGGCATTTGATGAATGCCTGAAGTCGTGTCCTCGTCAGTGGCTGCATGCATATTCCAAGTTTGCCACTTTTCTCATCAAAGACCCTTGCAGATAATCACCCCAAGCTGCCCAGGTTTCAGGCATCACCAGTCCTGGACCACAAAAATAAAAATTGCTGGCTCTCGGAGGAAATAACTCATCACTTTCTAATACCGGCATGTGTATGTCATCATCACATCTGTCCTTGTTTCATTTCAATGCGCACTTTTTCCGGAGGTATCCACACACATAAAGAAACAGAAAACACACGAGTGCTACTGGGAGAGGCGGGGTACATGTAAATGTAGAGCCCGTACACACAGATGACCACATACAGGTACATGTATCTACTTCCATTACATCTGTGACTCTCACCCTACTGTCTTAAAACTGATTTTCCATTTGCATACTTAGTAGATAAACTGTTTCCAAAGGATTTACAAAAGAAACTCAATAATACATACGTGTAAGTGTGCACAAAAGAGAAGGCATTTTTTCACAGAACCCATTCAGAAATTGCCAAATTTACTGAACGCACAGTTTTACTGCATGTACAGTGTACTTACAAGAACTTGTTAAAGGCAACGATTAAGTTACCAGGGTAAACTAGAACATGTGTACATGTATTAAACAGCACTGCACTCACCATCTGTGTTTACATTAAAAGTAAAAAAAAAATGACTGGGAACTTTATTTTGGGCACTTTCCTACCTTCATATAATCTGTGTCGATCTTTGTACGTTCCTGAACATATTGCTTTTTCAGGTCAATTTTATCTTTGATCATGGTGCTCAGCTTGTCCACAATGGCTGCATTCATCTCGTCGGCATGTTGTCTGATGAGCTTGCTCACTGCATCCGTTTCTTTTATAATGGTGCTCCATGCCTGAAGGAGCCAAGATTATGAGAAAAGCACAGACCAATCAATGGCAAGTGAGGCTCTAGGGGCTTCCTGGACATCTTCTGAATGCCCTGCCTTCACACCGTGTGAATAGAAATGCATAAAATTTCAGGAAATACGAGCCTGGAAACAGCTGGATTTCTTTGCCACCTGATTCAACAGCAAACTGCCAAGAATTTTACATAATATGCATGATGCCATAATAAATGTACATGTACACGTACAGTATGTACGTGTACATGTATGTACGTAATATGTTCTGAGGCAAAGAAACTGAAGTTGTATAGGATGCATCCTTTGAGTGCAATAAAAATAAAGTTTTTGAAACGGATTGAAAAGCTGTGCTTCCTTTTCATTGAAAAGTTGTTTTCAGAATCTGCAGGGGTGTCGGGTAATCAAAATAACAATACTGAGACCAGGTGCTGCACTGTCAGACGGTTATTATACATACATGTACATTTGTGCACTTGTAACAACCCTGGCTTGTATCAAACCTGTCGGCAGTATTGCAGAGGAAAAAATCGCAAGTCTTTTCACAGTCACAAACGTACATGTATGTCCCTCAACAAGTTTACACAAAAGTCCTTTCAAAAGGCCATTCATATGCAACAAGGTTTAACTAAGACGCAAAGTAATGCAGTCACGGTTCATTTGAATACCTTGTGACTTTACAGACTACAGCTGGATGACTTGTGATGGACGCAATCATGACACTGCGTTTCGCTCCTAGTGCTAGGGCCTCATTGTTTCACAACTTACAATGCAATTTTGTCAAGGTTCTGTACATGTACCGGTGCTAGTACATGTAAATACTGGTATAGCAAAAAAAGTTAGAGGGCCATTACAGACATCATACGTGTACATACATTTTGATGACAGCAGAATCTAATCCATCTCTTGAGCGTGTACCCATTAAGTCTCACCTTGACTGTACAGCCTTTGTGTCGTATCTGCTGGTCCTCCTCAAACCGGCTGGCCAGCCCACTGATAAGCCCCAGCGACGTGGCATATTCTTTGTCTGCCTTGATCTTGTGCTGTACCACCCGCTTCAGCGTCTCCATCAGCTTCAGCTCTTGGTCGTTCAGCCGCAGGATGGCATCGTGTGCCGTCTTGTCCTGGAGGTCGGTGCCGAAGCCCATGCGACTGGCCCCTCGGACCTGTGGGCAACATGAGAAATAAATGCTACCACACGCTCTACTTCTTGCAATGACAACCGTTTTGATTTGGACTGTTTGATCAGTGTGAGTACTGTAGTACGCAGGTTTCCCCTTCCTTACCATTCAGTCATAGACTTGGTACCTTTTCCTTGAAGAAATACCTCCGGATCTGCACATGCACGTATACACGCTCTTCTCACCAGACTAAACACAGCCCAAGTCATCGAGTTCTAGTGGGTGTATTACTTGACATAGCAAGATTCTTTCACACACACGTTTTCACTTAATTATCAGCAGAAACTACCTGCAGAATATAATGCTCACATTTATCTTACAATCTTAGAAAAAATTATCACTTTTACTTTCTCACCAAAGTGTTTGTTACAACAAGAAAAACACAGGTTTATTGACGTACTACCAGTGCAAATCGAAGAGAAACATCACTGTGTACATCACTATATTTGGTCCTGAGAGTCAGGTCTGAAAGTCTTGTTTCAGCTCTGGGGACATAAGCCTTTTATTTTTAGACATCTGACTATGACACATACTTCCAGTCGGTGCAGAACATGTACTGTGCCTTACTTTTTCTGTACACATTAAATGTACATTTGCCTGCATGAATGTGGCGCATGTAGGCCTACACTGCACATATTGACAGGCTACATGTACAGCAAGCTGCTTTTCCTGAATGTCTGAATGAGACGGATGAATGTGATGATTCCTGTCCGCAAAAGAGGCCTGCACACATTTCTTAAAACTGCTGCGTTTACCTGTACCACATACGATGTACAGTATGTACATGTACACTGTACATGTATGGAGTAGGTACATGTACATGTACATGTAAGTGTTAAGAAGAATTCTGACGTAAGTTTTAATCTTTGTGCACTACCAGCCGAGAAGAAAATTATCCAGTACATACATGTAACTAAGATTTGGATGTTAGACCATGGTTGGACTGAGCAAATACAAAAAGGTTTTCACTGACAGATGCATGTACATGTACACATGCTAGTATATAAAGAAAACAATTAGCATATTATCCACACAAACACATCAACATACAGTAATACAAGAATCGGTACATGAACATACATACATGTACATTGTACATATACATCAAGCAGTCAATTACGGTGAGTACAGGTACATGTAGACAAGTACATGTACAGCACATGTCCACGTTTACAAGGTTTAAAAGAGAAAAGTTGCAGATTGTGTGGTCATTTTTGTAGGCACATTACATAACCAATGAGCATCTCATAATGGCGGATATACGGAAGATGAGTCAGGGAGGTGAAAATATATACATGTATACCACACAAAATAGTGATCGCAATTTACATGTACATGTAGCTGGCAACTTTTCTTTCTGCTGTGCATGCATGCTCATAATTTCTAACCATCTCTATTTGTTTTGACATGTACATGTACAGTACATGTGTGTACTGGTTGCTGGATACATGTAGCTTATAGGGAAAATAACCTGCTGGAGTTAAGAAGGGAAAACTTGTCCCCACTTCATTTCAAACAATATATTAAAGTGTACATGTATGAGTGCATACACGTAGGCCTACATGTACATGTACATAACTCACCGTCCTGTTCCATTTTATAACCGTATTGCTAAAAGTTCGCACTTCTCGGTTGAAGGCAGTTTGAGGATGAACGTGCAAGACTGGTTTGCTCATGATTTCTGACCGACTGTGTGTCCAAACAGCTCATCAAGTTTCTTGGAGAATGTAGTCTAAAGATTGAGCTGACTGAAGCCCGAGCGACTGTGATCTGGCTATAAACTGCACTAATGGATGATTTCCAGTGTGGTTGTTACAGAGCTGGCAAGCTACATGTAAGAACATTGATGCGTGCAGGGTGGCGGTACGTCCTGCGTGAGCCGTACTTGGAGGGGGGAATGTACCATTCCAATCGGTGAGGGGGCCAATTCAATCAAAAGCTCAATAAACATGGGTGGGGCAGGTTTGATGGGGGAAAGGTCCGGGGAAGTAATCGGGTATGAATCAGTCAAGTCTGCCTGCGAGATGTGCACCGCACACGTGTACCTTGCAAGTGTCCATGTACGTCTTGTGGGAAGTTTCAAGATGACAGCACTGATCGTGGTGAGTTTAAATCATAATAAACCAACACATGAATACAAACAATATGAGTATTTGAGATCAAAAGGAGCTTTATAGCCTCACCTACCTGTACGATGCTACAGTATTTGTTGAGTGGATCCAAAACTATTTTGTTGTTTTAGAAAGGGAAGACACCCATCAAGTGACCAACATGACATGCCGGTACGCAAGATCTGTGACATATTATGTATTACTGAGCTTCCAAGTCATATGTGAATTTTTTTTATGTAAATATACTCCCTCCCAGCATGCCCAGGAGAAAGAAGTGGAAGATGTTTGGTAAATGTACCCTAAATGGAGGGCGGTGCAAGGAACTTTTTCACCCATGTGGCAGAGTGCAGTGTTACGGTAGCTGCAGTTAGTTTTAAAGTCATTTGATATAATGCAATTTGAATTTCCATTCTTGTGATTCTGCATACAAACATGTATACCAGGTACACGCACGCACCCTAACACTCCCACTGACCATTCCAATTCCATCAGAAGTTTTAGGAGGATTTTGTTGGATTGAGGAAGGTAGAGTCCTGACAGCCAATGTTACATGTACATGTACGCAGCAGTAGTTTATATAGAACTTGATGCCCCTTGCAACTTATATGTACATGTTCAGTACATGTTTAAGGATTTGCCGCTGGTTTCCTGTACAGTTGAATTTGGGAGCACTAATCCAGCTCTTTCCTTTCAAAAATGCCAGTGGAGTTGGATAAAGGTCAGGAAAGGAAAACCAACTTTCCAAACATCTTACTGCCTTTCTGCGTATCACTGGCGTTGTGCAAGTGAGTGGCAAATAAGTAGAGTGTGTGACATTACCGGGTAGGCCCCCTCCCCTAAAAAAATACTCAACAAAATGTGCTGCCATTATCAATTTTATTTGTTCAAATTTACTTCTAGATTGGACTTAAGGTATAGGCTTAGCAGTGTACTGGCATGCCAAGGTCAATGGAGAACTCACCCTCACTCCAAAATGTCATTTTTGTGCAGCACAAAAACCACGTTAAACACACCAAACGCAATTTGCCTTTTGGACTTTACCTTTGGACTTTTTGTCCAAAAATGGCCAATGTGTCGTACTAGTAATAGTATGAAGTCCTAGTAATTTAGTTTCATGCCTGCTGACCAGTGGATCCTGAGGGAACCAACAGCTGGGTCTAATGGCCTCACAAACAGAGTCCAAATATTTTTTTTATGTTTTAAAAAATAATGGAAAAAAGGCATTGTGACCTTTTTTGTTGGCATCTCAAAAAGAGCTTTTTTCATGTACTTTATGTACATGTAAGTACTGTAACTTGACACAAAAAAGGCTTCTCTTTCAATCTTTTTTTCAATGTATGAGTTTTAACTACTTGTACCATACATGTACATATACTGGTACATGTATTTTTAACCTTACCTGGTTAATCGCATTGAAAAATGCACTTTGTAAGTACATGCATTTCAAATAAATGGATCTGTGCTCTCCTGGACAACTGAGGGCGTTCTTGTGATGTCATCCAGAGAAGGCATTGTTCAGTGCATACTCGTAGGTTTTCTGTTCAAGTCGGGAACCAAGAATTTACCAGTTCTCACTGAAAGTTTCTCAGAAAGGGTAGATTGCTCATTTGGTACACAAATGGTACACAACCATGAATCAACAGAGGGAAAATAAAGGAAAGACTTTTTTGTACACAAACCAATGTACATAACATCGAGGCTTACATGTACTTCCTGGGATGGCACCACAGTTTTGCTTTATGGACACATCATTGGCATAAGTCCCGTGAAAGTGTACGAATCGAGACTGTGGACAGTGCCCCCATATTTTAGACCAAAGTACATATATGTACATGTAGTACATGTGTGGTATATGTACCAATTATACTGATGAATGTACATGTGCACGTACCTGTACTGAACAAACCCCCCAATATCAACTTTAATTTTGATACCGTATTTCTTCCTGTGCTTTAAAGTCATGATTAAAGTTTTTTCAAAGGTTTTTCAGATGAGAGTCAATTTTACAACTCAACTCTCTTGATATGCATGCATATCTATTTGGCTTTCCTTACTGCCACTTCATACAGCTGCTGGCCCCAGCAATAAAAAGGACTAGAGGAAATAACCTATTTCCTGTTAGAGCGGGCACCTTAAATGTACATGTGTAATGAATCATGCATGTAATTTAATAAGAAGAAGTATGTTTCAACTAAACTGTTGACATAAGAACTGCTGACACGAGTCATGCCCTGCACGTACATTGTACACAAAACAAACACAAGCAAGTTCTGATTTTATTTGGGTCACTTTATAATTTTGGGGTCCAACTACATTCATTTTTTCATCCCTGTTACACATTGGGCAAATGACTTTATAAGGTGAGAA